CGTGACCTACACCATGTCATTGTGAGTGTGATCATCGTTAATTACTTGCACTTTTTTTTTTGGTTTAATAAGCAAAACCAGCTGAAACATTTTTTATCTTGTGAGGGCCTGTTCAATTAAAAACAAATTTCTGTGCCCCCAGTTCCAGGCAAGAATGTTATGGCACGGAGAGAAAAAATGTGTCTGTTGATTTAAGAACAATGGAAAGAAACAACACAAAAGGCCTCAAGTCAGCTCTCATTTGTCATGCAAGACCAGTGCTGATAGGACAGTACCAGAACTTTTTTCATTACCCGCTTAACGGTCCGGAGGATGATTACAAGAAGCAACCAGAAGAACATGGCAATCACTGCAGTGCCAACGAGGATAATGAGCTCCAGATTTGTTTTCTCTTCAGCGCCTGGGAAGAAATAAATGAATATCTGAGTGATAGTTGGAAGCATATTGGTTTTGTTCATTCATTAAAGGAGAGAATGAAGGTCCTTGTTCTGAAGGTTCGTTTTAAAAGTGCAACATGGAGCGAGGAAACGAAAGCAAAACAAAACAAAAAGGTTGGATTTTTATGTTGGAATATTATGCTTCGTTTCGTGCTGTTTTACACACCACACAATTCCTTAGCATTAATTTTGTTCCAAGGACAGTATCTGCACCTTTGGCAAATAATAAAAAGTAAAATCCTACATTTTAAAAAGAAATCATTGTTTTGGATACTCAGAATGAATGACTCTTTCTCCAGAAAAAAAACCCAAAACATATAGTAAATAAAGTGCTGTGAGAATGACCCAGAGAACAATCTCTCCCTTGTCCCTTTACATGCTTCAGCTGGGGCATGAAAAAATGTGGTTCTACAACAACACATGAAAATAAGGACTTATTTACAACATCCCTTTTCCAGTAAAATAGTCCCCAGCAGATACCACTTGAACGCCTATTAGTGTGCAGGAGCAGCTCCCTCCTTCAGCTCCCGTCCGCCACATCACGCTCCTGTATTTCATCCCTCGCACCATACAGATTTTCCTACACGGTAACACACGCCATTGCATGACCCTGATGAGCTGCACTGTAAATTTTTTGGAGTGAAACAGTACGTCCTATACAGATTTCCAACTTTCACAGATATGCGCCAACCATATTTACCCCATCAGCTGAAACCTGCATTGATGTCAGCTGCAGATAATTTCCACCCCACATAAACACATTGCCCAACATCTTAATATCTGAATGGGACCTATAAGAATAACAGAATACTGCTTCAGTTACCTTAATGGAACAGACGAGGCAATCACCCTGACTTATAAGACAGAGGTTTGTGAAGGATTCAGTGACTAATTTTTGCAAACGTACTAATATGAAGGGCAAGGAGCTTTTAGTACGAGGCTTCTCATTGCAAAGTCTGAACTCTTGGCGGGAAGTCCATCACGGTTCCAGCTATTCGGACTAAATCCTTCTCTTGTTAGGATTAATTGGTTATTATTGTGAGTGGCATTTTGGTGTGCCACAATAGGACTGGAACAAATGAGAGACAGGTCTCACAAACGCTACTTTCAGAGCTTGGTGGACTAAGGCTGGAATCCCCTAATCCAAAACCACTACCTGTTTCTATCCCTGAAATGGGATGGCAATCACAACAGACTGCACAAAGTCTTCGCTCTTTTTCTTAGATGCTTGTGACAGCAATGACGTAGTTTAAAAAGTTGTAACTGTTAAAAACCCACAGTATGACAATTACATTACCAAGACAATAGACATGCCCCAGGGTACCTGCAGGTTTGGGTAGGTTCTGTTGCACAGGTTTGCATGCAGTATAGACTGGCAGAGATTTCTTTGCAATCACAAGTAAGACAGGTTCAGCTTTTGCTCAAAAGCAATAAACAACACTGTGGAGAAGAAAGCGTCAGCCTGAACAGTTGGGATTACAACGGCTACGGCAGCACCCAGCTGGAGCTTGATAGGAATGGTCAGGACTTTTTGCAAACCTCACAGTGTATTTTCAGATCTTCGATCGGGACAGCCGGTAGATTTTCCTTTCAGTGCTCATAATGACCTCATGCACAATCTGGGAAGAAGCTGACACTAACCTTCCACTGAAAAAAAAGCCACTGCTTTTCTGCATCCGAGGACGTTGCAGGCAAGGCAGGTGTATAGCCCACCGTCTTCTTTCCTCACTCGACGAATGGTTAGTGTTTTGTTTCCATCTTTCAAAACAATACCTGGAAAAAAATCATGACACTTAGTTCTGCTATTTTTATGCCAGTTTGTCTTCAATTCAAAATGAAACCTTTCTTAGTGAAAATTAGCAGTGAGACCTATGAAAGAAAGCCCTTAAAACGATAGAAAATTTGTAGCAAAGGAGCAATCCTCACCTGAATCTTCAACAAGCGTTTCATTATTTTTAAACCACATGATGTTTGGAGGAGGAATGCCATTTGCTGTGCATGACACTTCTATGGTTTCACCAATGTTTGTTGTTTGATTTTCCAGACTTCCTATGAGTGTGGGTGCCATGGGCTCTGTTGGTTCGAAAATAAGGCGAAATTACTGACCGTTTAAGAAAACATCCATTCTTGCAGTAATAGCACTTGAGGACATTCTACACGTTTGGCCTAGTAACAAAGGCTCAAATCCTTTTGTAATACCAACAGTCACAGCATTCATGTTAAGATCATAGTTAAACTTCCATATGACATGAAAAAATTATAATAGCCAAGAAAATTTTAACAGTATTGATGTAACCTGCTGGTTATTAAACATTAGACGGTTTAATTTCTAACTGCTCAGGCTGCTGCGGGAAGAGAGAATAGGTGAGAAATTTGCTTCCCTCACATTTCTATTTCCAGGGTCATTATGAGAAGTCTGATACAGCCGGTCCATCAAATGTCCATTCAGGACAGCCCATGAACACGTGTAAGTATTTTCCTGAATCTGCCTAATCAGCCTAGACATCTAGGTCCCAAAGCAAAGTCATCACTATTTGTGTGAAAAGCTGATTATCAGCTTGCATTGCTTGCGCCTGAATACCAGCATCACTTCATGACAGTTTTAAATTATAGACAATACTTCAAACCCAAGATTCAGTGACACAAAAGCAGTAGCGTTAACGCCACGAACACATACATGCATATATAGCTAGAGGGAAAAACGTGTTTTGAAAAGTAAAACTGAGAAGTTATTGGGCTAAACACGTGCCATTAGTTGTGCAAAAGCCAAACTAATCTCCTCGCCCAGCCCAGTGGCTCGGTCAGGCTTCCTCACCGGTACTGTCCCTGCTGCCCAGACAAGCCCGAGAGCTGCACTCCGCAGCCGTGAGCATGTACAACTGGCGATCCCTTTATTTACAACAAATGGTCTAAATCTATTTAACAAACTGAGTGTACCATTAGGGTAACACATGCAAGACCTGAAGATACCAAAACCTGACACTACTGCAGTTATTTGCTCCCATTTTGGTTCACAGCAAGAGATCTGTACCTTGCACAGTGAGGTGCTTCACCAGGCAGTGCTGTGTTTTAGCCTTTTTGTCCTGAGCAATGCAAACGTAGTCCCCTCCATCCTGGAGGGAGATGTTTCGGAGGATGAGCTCTAAGGTGACATTTTCACCATTGGTATTTGAAACTGTTGCATTCAGCTTCTGGAGAGCATTGAGGTTCTTGCAAACGGGCATGGGCAGCCCTCCAAAGGGAGTCTGCGAAGCGTGAGCGCTGAGTTTGTACCATGATAGCTTCTCAAAGGTGAATTTGTCTGCTGTGCATTGCAAGGACATGTTATCTTTCTCTGTGAGCTGATTCCGAGGCTGAAGATTAATTTCAAGACCCCCTGCAAGTTTAAAAAAAAAAAAAAAAAAATTTCCTATTAGGTTGCACAATATGTTGCCAACAGTAACTTGAAAGAGCCATTTTATAAATATAGCCTTATCCTCATCTTGGACGGTTGTAAATAAGAAAACAAAAAAAAAAATCAGTCGATCATTTATGTAAAGAGTACGACCTCATTAAAAACAATACATTTAAAATGGATCAAAGGCAGGCCTGTGTAATGAATATAGTTCCTCTTACTGTAGAAACGTGGCAACATAAGACGATTCCTAGCTTTATCTTATAGTTCATTTTTAGATTTGGATTAAAATATTATTTCAGCATGTGAATACGGGGACTGGTTGTCAAGAAGACAGAAGCTCTTCGCCACTGCTTTTGAAAATGTTAGTCTTAGCTTCTACGGTACCTCTTTACTCATTTTGTGACACCACCATAACTTCTCTGTTGCTCCTTTAAGTGACTGCAAAAGCCCAATAGCAATCACTCTGGAGACAACAGTGCCCATTTTGCATCGTTTTCACGGAACCGCCACTCCACTGATGCCAGCAGAACTAATCGCTTGGCTGAAGTTAGGTGGTGACTTTAAAGGCCGCATTAGGAAAACCTCAGGAAAACCTAAAACCTTGAAGAATGAAAGGATTTTATAAAGGACAGGCATCAGACAACAACGTTGAAGCACCTATCGCCAGTGAAACAGCCAAAATAACGTTAATTTAATATGGCTGTCCTCAACAGGGTGTACTTACTGGTCACGTGAAATGAGATGACTCTCTCGCTTGACCCAGCTCTGTTCGTCGCCATACACCTGTACAACGCGGATACGTTCGCTGCTTGAATCACGAGGGTGCTCACAGTCTACAAAAGAACAAGCGAGAATTTCACACCACGTCAGTGAGCCTGACCACCTCAGCAGCTCAGCAAAGTGCTCTGCAGGTATCTGCACAACCAAAAATCCCTCCACAGCACAAATCCACGGCACAGCAGGAGCACAGTTCCCTCCTGACGTTTGCATTTTTTTCCTTAGGTCTGTAACAAGCAGGCAAAAGAAAACAAGACAAAGCAGCCTGCCAGAAGACAGACTTCAGTATATGTGTTAATAAACGCTGCACCCACAGCTTTTTCTGCTCTTCAGTCTCTCCAGCTTCTCCCTATTACAGTTAATTGGCAAGATTAACTCACCTAACTTCAGACCACTAAAAGGTAAGCACTGAAATCTAAGGAAGGTACGTTCCTCAGTGGAGACTCATTTAAGGTCAGCGTCTAAAGGACTTGGAAGTGTCTACCTCTGCCTATTGGCTTCAGCAGAAGCTTGCACGACTAGCTGCGAGTAGATCCCCAAGTTTAGCGTTAGGTGAAAAGAGTCTCATCTCTAGTGATATATTTCCAGATATGTGGACTGCTGAACAGAGCTAATCATCCCCAACCAACAGAAAAGAAAACCTGCTCACCTTTGTTTTCCCGGCAATAGTAACAACTCGGTGCTTAATTTCGACCTGATTCCCACCCTTTCTCTCCGAGATCACTTTCCATTTCCTGCATGCATATGGATTGGCTCCTGAGCGAACTTTCCTGATATAAGTAGAGACGTATGCATTAGATAAGACGAATATTCACCCTTCAAGAGAGCGGTTTTGTGTTCTGTTTATAATATGCAGATATTTATCTACAAATCAGATGCACCACTGGCCACAGCCTGCATCTGGGAGGGAAGAGTAAGCTTCTGGAAAAATGTCTATCAAATTGCACCCTATAACCTTCTAAGACCTTTGTGCTCTGTAAAATAAGAAACTCCCATGCTGAAAGGTGAATTTCCTAATTAATCTGCCTCTGTCAGCTCAATCAGGATGCTTGGAGGGAAGCAGCTATTCTGGGAACAAACCTCCATTCATAAATGGATGATTCAAGTTAATTTAGTTCAAAGGAAGACAGAGAGACATAGAAATCACTGAACTCCCTACAAGAATTTCTTGAGGACAGTAGCCATTGTGTAGGAAGCAACAAGGCACCAAAGGAAGAAACTAGTGGAAATCATTTTAAAAACAACAACAGGAAAGAAGAATGCCTTTTTTTTTTTGGCCCTTTTTTTTTTTTTTAAAGGAAATCTGGGCTTATGGCAGGCCCAGATAAGGGAAGCTGCGTGAATCTCAGTCAGGCACTCTCTCTATCATTCCCCAACATCAATCAGTGCACTTCCTCCGAGATACACTTTCACACAGATAAAAAGCACCGTCACACTCAGCACTTGAGTGTAAGAAAAAAAAAAAAAACCAACAAACCCAACACCAAGACCTGTAATTAGCATAAGCAGCAAGTTTCCTCTCTTTGCCATGGAGCTTTGGGCCTGCAGCCCACGGGGAGATCCGAGGGGAGGGCACGCAGATAGCTGCGTCTGAAGCCCCGTGCAAGCCAAGATGCCCTACGAGAAGGCACGAGGGCAGCACGCAGGCGCTGCTGGCTCCCCGCTGCAGGTGGCCCTTGTCCCTGCGTCTCACCGCCGCCGAGGATGACCTCGGCACAGCCTGCCCACAACGATCTGCCTGTTAAGTACAACAATCTTTTCTTCGTCGGCCATTGGGTTTGCGCTCGGTAACGAGCCCGGACAAGGGACGCACACAAAAAAACCCCCTCCGACCCAAACGACCCTCAAGAGCTACACGAGCCGCAGAAGATGGCAAGGGCTTAGCACTCACTGGGGGCTGAAAGTGCACTCCTCCTCCAGCTGCCAGTGCCAGAGGACGGCGGAGGGCCGCGGGCCGGCCGAGGCGGGGGCGG